GAACAAAGAGTAACCTTCCGAAAATGTAGAAATACACTACATTCTGCATATAATTGCAGGGAGTTCATGGACTGCCTGAAGCCCACCTGTCTTCTGAATCCATGGACCCCAGGTTAATAATGCTTGAGCTAGAATAAGCAGGATCAAATCCAGACAGCCCCACTTGGCATTAGAGATTCTTCTGTTTTACACAAGCACATGGCCATTGGTTATCAATTTGTTCTTCCTCAGATACTCTCCCTTGTGCTCTGGATTGTATAACTTTGTTAGCCATAATTTTGTACTCATTTGCTCTGGTTTGGGCCTTTTGTCTGGATTCTGGTTTGGGAAATGCTGTTTTGACCTATTGGTATCCATGTTCTTCAAATGGCTAGATTTAGAGGAAATCTCGAATTTTCTGTTAATTTTCAAGGTGTCAATAAAATAACTTGTTTCTCTTTATGTCCTTAAGAAATTTAAAAACCTGCTTCCTCTTGCTTTAATCTAGTATAGCCCACTCTGCTCTACATCTGCTACCAGTTTTCTCACACTAGACTTTCACCTGTTCCCACCACAGTAGATTAAAGCAACAACCTGTGCGTGAACTAAAGTAACCTGACCCTCACTGGAATACTACGCAAGCACAGCACAAAAGTTAACTTCCATTGCTGAGCAGAACCTCCATTTCCCAGCTCTACCTTAACATCATTCAACCAACTGCCCATCTGTATTACAGTTGGGCTCCTTCACTGTGGTCTTGCAGGTTTCCTCTATTACTATGAAAACTTCCATTTTATAATTCAACTTATTTAACTGGTAATCTTCCTCCATCCCTTCTCACATAGCCTCCTTCTTAAATTGTTTTCATCATTGGCAACTCTACAAAAACTGAAAAAGTATGCCAGGTGGGTCTTCAAATTCAGTGAATGCAAAAGTGGTTTAATTTTCTTATAGCCTAGGAGATATCTGGTCTGAAAGCTTGATTCTTGGAACCTCTAGAAAGATAGATGATTCCACGAAGATTCAAACTTTCTCTCTGTTCACATATCCCAATAAATTATTACAAGTGAACGCTCTTCTGATTGGAAGTGCCGGGTTTTGAGAAAATCTGTCCATTCCAGAAGCAGAATTTCCCCCAAGGACTCTGATCTGCCTTAGCCATGACATTTTTGGGCAGTACTGCCTACTTCTGACCAGAACACAATATTAGGGCAGAACTAGTATCTTTGAGGCCAGTGCTGGAAGATAGGTTAAATCTTTTTCACTGCCTAATTATTCTGTATTTTGGTTGATTTATTTACCTCTTAACTCTTATTATCTAGCCAGATCTACCATATCCACCTCTTCCTCCCGCCTGGATTCTAGATTCTGCCATCTTCTCAGGTGCTACCTGTATTTCTTGTTGTATTAGTCTGTTCTTACACTGCTATGAAGAAATAGTTGAGACTGGGTAATTTATAAAGGAAAAAGGTTTAATTGACTCACAGTTCTGTGGGCTGGGGAGGCCTCAGGAAACTGACAATCATGGCAGTAAGCACCTCTTTGCAGGTCAGCAGGAGAGAGACTGAATGCCCAGCAAAGTGGCGGGGAAGCCCCTTACAAAACCATCAGATCTCATGAGAACTAACTCACCATCAGGAGAACAGGATGGAGGAAACTGCCCCACGTGATTCAATTATCTCCACCTGGTCCCTCCCACAATATGTGGGGATTATAAGAACTACAATTGAAGATGAGATTTGTTTGGGGACACAGTCAAACCTTATCATTTGTCTACTTTGTATATCAACTCTTGCCTGCCTTGACCTCTATCTGCTAGACCCAGCCAGCTTAACTAGACATGTCTTATTTTATATTAGTCACAGTGGCAAACTCTTAAAAACTTAACAATGAATAAGAAAGCTATCTCCTAATATTCTTGTATTGAAAGCATATAATCATGAAGAAGTTTAAAAAATTTCCCACAGTTAGAAAACTCCATTTATACGTAGATTTTGACAAAATTGCTCCGTATTCTGTTATTAAAACAATGTAACTATCAATAGCAATTTATATACTTATTTTTACTTTCCATCATCATAAGAATATTTTTTTAGACAAGGTCATGCATTGTCATTTTATGTCAGAGACACAATTGAAATATCCAAACCCGTAAACACACTTTATTTAAGTTTCGTTTGTTGAGTAAAGTTTTAACATGCATCTCAACTGTGGAAAGCCCAAATCAATATGCCTTTGACCTGGTACCAGTAGGAGGAAGGTGTTAATTGCCGTGTTGCCATGAGGTTTATGAACTGGCATTAACATCTCAGCAGGAGCAAAAGTGGCACAATAGCAACTTCTGAGAATGGATGAAGGAAAGCATCATTACATAGGGATTTGTTTCCAGTAAGAAAACGTTATGCGTTTTATTTTAGGGATACTGAACAAACATTATTTTTAAAGAACATTATGCTACTAGTAGCATAAATATCTTGCCATCTTTATGATCTGTGCAATTAAAACACAAATACTTCTTGGTGTAGCAAGTCAAGGAAAGTATTTAGTTAATATGTTAATTCATCTTTTAAATCTATTATAGCCACGCTGCAGTCAGCATTTTTAAGGTTTAGTGAACACAGCTGCATTTTGAGAACACTCCCAGCAAGGTTGAGAAATTAATTGCCCTCAGTATCTATTTAGATTATTTTTTAAAATCTTTTCAATAATTGTAAATATACTGTTTTCTGAATGCAACAACTACATACTCCAAAGTTCGTTTTTTCAAATTAATCATTTTGGCCAATTTTCCTGATAGAATCCATGCTGAGACGGTTTTATTTAGAAAATTTGGTTTAGAGCCATCGGGGAAATCTTAATGAGAAATCTAAGCATTTTAGGTCAGACACTCTGGAAAAGTTTTGGATATTACTTATTCAGAGAAAATTGGTAAGAACTGTGTATATTTAAAACATTTTCAGAGCCACATACTTTAGAGTTAAGTATTAACTGAAACTTTTTTATGAAAAATAGTTATGGCCTGCCTGAATTCTAATAGTAAATGAAAGGAAGGAACCAAGAGATTAAAATGATAGGACTACAGGATATGGTTCATGATTGGTTTAAAGTGAATGAGCAGGAGCGTTAATAAGTTAGCCTATTCCAGTTATTGCCAGATTGCTTAATATATATTTGTGTATCAGGTGAACAAAGGCCAAAAGTATTTGCAAATATGCTGCCATCTAAATGTGATACTGCTTCTGTGAAAAAGGATGGTTTTTTTGAGTCATCATTGAAGGAAGGGATAAATCATAACTTCACAATGGAAACCTAACTGATGTTAATTTCTGAAAATATTTCTGAAAAAAAAACCAAGTTAATTAACATTAGCTGCCATCTAAATGTGATACTGCTTCTGTGAAAAAGGATGGTTTTTTTGAGTCATCATTGAAGGAAGGGATAAATCATAACTTCACAATGGAAACCTAACTGATGTTAATTTCTGAAAATATTTCTGAAAAAAAAACCAAGTTAATTAACATACCTGTAAGTAATGAACCAGTTCTACATGTAAATATTGTAATCTAAATTATTATCAGCATTTTTTGCAAAGATTCTTATTCTAATAGAATATTCTTTTATATATCTTGAGTGCATATCACACATTCTTCCATTTTAATCACAAAAATAGAATTTATAAAAGTTAATTTTATAAACTTTACAAAGGGTACTCATAAATAATCAAGTCAATGACAATTTTTTGAAGGAAACAAATTATTTAGCAAGGAATTATTTGTAGGTTGTTTCTTTTTATACTAGTCTCTGGTACCTCTTTATTTCATCAAAACAGTTTGATTTAATATATTTTTTCTAGAACATACTTTAATAAAGAGGAACTTCTTTAGAATCAGCTAGAACATTAAAAAATTAGAACTAATAGAACACAAAACAAAAAATTATTTTAATGTTCTCATTTAGCTTAATGCAGTATTTAAATTAGTATAGTAATGAGATTGTTATTTATTAAAAAATCAAACGAAGCCAAGAGAAAACAATGTTTAGGGAACAAAAGAGCATTAAAAATACTTTGGTTTCAAACTTAGTGTTTTAAATGGGATGAATATAATGGTATGTACTTAGACATAACTTTATTTAATTAAATATAATAATAATAATTATTATTATTTTTTGAGACAGAGTCTTGCTCTGTCACCCAGGCTGGAGTGTAGTGGTGTGATCTCAGCTCACTGCAAGCTCCGCCTTGCGGGTTCACGCCATTCTCCTGCCTCAGCCTCCCGAGTAGCTGGGACTACAGGCACCCACCACCACGACTGGCTACGTTTTTGTATTTTTTAGTAGAGACGGTGTTCACTGTGTTAGCCAGGGTGGTCTCGATCTCCTGACCTCGTGATCCGCCTGCCTCGGCCTCCCAAAGTGGAATTAAATAATTATTTTAATGTTTGCTACTTAAGTATGTATTGTCGTTTGAGAAAAAAATGATGGTTGTATTTTGATATAAGACTATAAATCTCTTAAGACTTGGATCATACTTTACAACTCATTTTTACTTTCTTCTCTCCTCTGCTCTTCTCCTGAAGGTTGTAAGCATCCAGCTCACCAGTTTGCACATCTTAGGCATTCTTCCAATATTGGGTTTTACATTTAAAAGAACCATCAAATAAACTGGATTTTGTCCTTAGTGAACAAATAGCCTGTGTGAACACTGAGTACCAGGTCAGGTACATGACGGGTGTTAAATCAGTGCTTTCTAAATCCAAAAACTTGCCTTTTTCCTAGTATAGAATTTCCTTGGCCCTAATATTGATCTCATACAAGGGAACAGGAAAAAAATCCGTGATTCATTTTGCATAATTAGTGTATTCTAAAGTTAAGTTGTTGTAGATTTTGTCTAGTTTAGACTCTGGTACTAAAACTAGCAAATGGTTTGAATTCCTATTAGACTTTGGATGGAAAAGTAATAATACTTCACAGTTTTTGCATTAAAATTCTGATTTTTTTTTTTTCTCTTTGGTGTATGAAAGCTGAAAATAGAAAACTTTTTCACGAACAAGAGGTTGAAAAGTGCCTTGTAGCCCTTTTGGGTTCGGAAAACGATGGAACTAAAATTGCTGCTTCCCAAGCTATTTCAGCAATGTGTGAGAATTCAGACAGCAAAGATTTTTTCAATAATCAGGGTAAGCCAACTGGAAACAACTCTTTTGAGCATTTTTAGGTTACCATATTCTAGTGCACATGGGCATTTTAAAAGTCACATTTTTTACCTTTCTCTTTCTGTAGGGATTCCACAGTTAATTCAGTTGCTAAAAAGTGACAATGAAGAGGTACGGGAAGCGGCAGCTCTAGCCCTGGCAAACCTAACCACTTGCAACTCTGCTAATGCAAAGTAAGTTCAGAGATCCTCACTCAACACTGACTTGTGGAACAATTCACAGTTCAAGATGTTCTTATGCTAAATTATTGACTTTCACGATAGTCTGTGAATTGCTTCAGATGATCTATCTTGGGGTTATTCTTCAGAATCCCTTATGAAAATAGAATCATCAGATGGGCCTGTTTTCCACAAATATTACAAAATCTTAACTGTTTCTGAGTTTGTTGGGAAAATGTGCAGGCCATTTGATTTCAGGGACCAGGAGGACTCTTGCAGAAGCTTCTACAAATAAGACTGAATAATGCTGGAAATATTAAAGACAAGATCGGATGAGCATTTGATAAATCTGGAAAAATGCTTAAAGATCCATCTTAAAAGGGTATAAACATTAGATAATATAGAAACATTTAAAAGGTCAGTGGCTCACACCTGTAATCTCAGCACTTTGGGAGACTGAGCCGGGTAGATCATTTGAGGTCGGGAGTTCAAGACTAGCCTGGCCAACATGGTGAAGCCCTGTCTGTACTAAAAATACAAAAAATTAGCTGGGCATGGTGGCAGGCGCCTGTAATCCCAGCTGTTGAGGAGGCTGAGGCAGGAGAATCGCTTGAACTCGGGACGTGGAGGTGGCAGTGAGCTGAGATCGTGCCATTGCACTCCAGCCTGGGCCACAGAGCGAGGCTCCACTTCAAACAAACAAACAAACGAACAAATAAACAAACCAAAGCATATTATGAGCAAATACTGTGAAGAAAAGTTAAGGAATAGGAATGCCTTCTGTATCCCAAGCACTCTGGTATGTAATTTGTACTCATTTTTAAAATTATCAGAATAATCTGCCAGCAGTTGAGGAAACTGAGACTTTTCAAGCTTACTTAATTTTCCTAGGTGTGCATTTTTATCAAAATAGCTGAGCTGGAAATCAATGCAGGTCTGTCAGACTCCAAAGTCTGTTCTTTCCTCTATAGGAGATAAAGACCACCTTATAAAACAGTAAGAATTTCTTGAAGACAACTTCCATAAATAAAATAATTATTTGCCTTCCCTCCAACTCATTTGGTATGTTAGTTAGCTTTCATTTATTATTGCTTTGTGATATCGTGGCTAAAATTATCCTTTTCTAACTTGAAATAAATCTCCCTCGGCCTCCATCACATACTTAATAGTTCTTAGCCTTTCTTTCCCTTTCTGTTCTCCCACACAAATATTTTATAAGATCCTAATGGAATGACTGCAAATCTAACAGCCTGATAAAAACATCACAGAAATGCATAAGTGTCAAAACAAAACTGTGTTCCTTTAATAGCTACAATCTTTGACATAGTAATTTCCTAAATTAAGGGTCATCATTATCTCTATGAAAGCATATACACTTCTGGAATATTGAGTCCTTGTAAGTAGCAATTTGAAAATAGCGTATTCAGTGATTTTTCCGGTATGGTTGCGCAGTGCAAAAAAATCTTATCAGAGACACTAAACTATTTCTCTCTCCAGTCCATTTAGATTTGTATGCAATCTAGAATACTTTAACAGGCCTCCAGAGCATATAGGTGTCTTGATTTGATGTGAGTTTGCCTGGCTTATATTTTTTGTTTTATTTTACATAAAATCATAGAAAATTAGGATAGTAAGTAGTTCTAAAAGGGGCTGCCTTCAGATTTGCTCTCTCAGTTTAATTATCTGTTTTACAGATTTTTGTCATCTAACTCATAGTTCCATTTTGTTACCATAGAAAGGTCAGTCAGGACTAAATGATGCCTGACTTCTCTAGTACTGTCAACTTTATTTACATAATTTAACTTTATTCTTTGTAAATTTTTAATTGCAGTTATTTCTTTAACCTATTATATACTGTCCATTCTGTTTTATTTTTTTTTAATTTTGTGTTTTGTAAGGGAAATGGGACATGAATGAAAGTGGCTTTCTGAATGTTCCTTGAGGTCTGTATAATTTTTACTTGGGATTTTCTGAGCTAAAAAAATATTGAAGATGAATACTTTTGAAGAGGATGTGGAATCAAATTTGACAGATTTATGCCAAATGCTGAAGACTGAAGTTGCAAAAGATTCTAGAGTCAATCAAAAGGAATGAACACGACTAAGCCACATAGTCCTTCTAGAAGCCTCCTTGAGTTTAATTAGTAATGCCAAATATAACGGAAGTGACAACAAATGTGATTGGTTATTTTTAATAAAATAATTTTCTTTATTTTATTTTATTTTATTTTTATTATTATACTTTAAGTTCTAGGGTACATGTGCATAACATGCAGGTTTGTTACATATGTATACTTGTGCCATGTTGCTGTGCTGCACCCATCAACTCGTCAGCACCCATCAACTCGTCATTTACATCAGGTATAACTCCCAATGCAATCCCTCTCCCCTCCCCCCTCCCCCCCCCACCATGATAGGCCCCGGTGTGTGATGTTCCCCTTCCTGAGTCCAAGTGATGTCATTGTTCAGTTCCCACCTATGAGTGAGAACATGCGGTGTTTGGTTTTCTGTTCTTGTGATAGTTTGCTAAGAATGATGGTTTCCAGCTGCATCCATGTCCCTACAAAGGACACAAACTCATCCTTTTTTATGGCTGCATAGTATTCCATGGTGTATATGTGCCACATTTTCTTAATCCAGTCTGTCACTGATGGACATTTGGGTTGATTCCAAGTCTTTGCTATTGTGAATAGTGCTGCAATAAACATACGTGTGCATGTGTCTTTATAGCAGCATGATTTATAATCCTTTGGGTATATACCCAGTAATGGGATGGCTGGGTCATATGGTACATCTACTTCTAGATCCTTGAGGAATCGCCATACTGTTTTCCATAATGGTTGAACTAGTTTACAATCCCACCAACAGTGTAAAAGTGTTCCTATTTCTCCACATCCTCTCCAGCACCTGTTGTTTCCTGACTTTTTAATGATCGCCATTCTAACTGGTGTGAGATGGTATCTCATTGTGGTTTTGATTTGCATTTCTGTGATGGCCAGTGATGATGAGCATTTTTTCATGTGTCTGTTGGCTGTATAAATGTCTTCTTTTGAGAAATGTCTGTTCATATCCTTTGCCCACTTTTTGATGGGGTTGTTTGTTTTTTTCTTGTAAATTTATTTGAGTTCTTTGTAGGTTCTGGATATTAGCCCTTTGTCAGATGAGTAGATTGCAAAAATTTTCTCCCATTCTGTAGGTTGCCTGTTCACTCTGATGGTAGTTTCTTTTGCTGTGCAGAAGCTCTTTAGTTTAATTAGATCCCATTTGTCAATTTTGGCTTTAATAAAATAATTTTCTACTCAGATCGTCTTTTAAAAATTGTTAGCTTAAACTCAGCATTGGTGAGTATTTCTGGCATCACTTTTAGTAGCTGTCCATTCAATCATCTCTGCAGGAAGCATCGTGGCTTTGCTGCTGGGGTGGTTGGAATCAAGATTTTCTAATTATTTTTCTGTCACACATAAGTAGTATAGGAGGCAAGAACCCAGAGTTAACTTCCTCCAGGTGCACTTGGTAGCTCTTTGAATATTTGATCATTGCTATCCTAATTTTTAAAAATGCACGTAAGCATTGCAAATACCAATTTTGTGTATGTTAAAATGTAACCCTTCTCCTACAGCCCTTCTCCTACACGCATATCTTAATGTGCCTAAAATGAATTTTTAAACTCTAATTCTTAGACTCAGGGCATCTTCTGGAATTGGAGGCTCATTTCATGCATTGAGTAATCGCTGGTGTTGTCATGGTAACATATAATGTTGGTGCAATTTCCTTTATGTAATAGATTTTTGCTTGGAAAATTGTGGGTAGATCAAAATTTTCTAAATTAAATAATCAACCCAGGGAAGGAGAAATGTACTTTGTGGCAACCCTTTTTGTAAAAATAACAAATGCCTTTTTTTATTAAAATCTTTTTATAATCCAAAAATTGAATTTTATAATCTTTATGTAAATTAATTTATAGTCTAATGTATCTGATTTCAGATTTTCACACATCTTGCTTTCTCATAACAAGAAAATACACTCAAATGTAATAAGATAGTATGATGATGAGCAATTTTAGTAGCAATCATAAATAAATAATCAGACCATTCATAGCCCTATGTAGAAGATTTTCAACTTTATTAAAGTAATCTGATCATCACCTTAATTCATGCCAAAAGATCTTACCTATTTGGTATTCTTTATGAATGAGGTTTCCTAGATACTCAAGTTTAGTGGGTTTTTAAAAATTTACTTTTTTAATCCAAAAAAACTTTTAAAAATTTGTGATAAGTTTGAATTTAAATCTTCTAAAATCCTTCCTTCTCAACCTTCTTTTTTTTTTTTTTTTCCCAGATAGGATCTCACTCTATTGCTCAGGCTGAAGTGCAATGGTGCAATCGTAGCTCACTGCAGCCTAAATCTCCTGGGCTCTAGCAATCCTCCTGCCTCAGCCTTGCAAGTAGCTGAGATTACAGGCATGCACCATCCCACCCAGTTAATTTTTCTTTTTTTTTTTTTTTTTTAGAGATGGGGTCTTACCATGTTGCCCACGCTGGTCTCTCAAACTCCTGAGCTCAAGCAATCCTCCTACCTTGGCTTCCCAAACTGCTGGGATTACAGGTTTGAGCCTCTGCACTGAGCTCCCTCTCAGCCTTTTGAACTGATTACGCTGTTATTGAACTTTGGTGGGGAAAGTTATGGTTGCCATTTTGACTAAGTGGCTGCCATGTGACCCTTGGCGGCGTTCTCATGGCCCCTCGGGGAAGGGGGTCGCTTGTCCCACTCACTGGGTATAAATTCGGGGGGACAGCTCCTTTGACCTTCGATGCATTTTGCTGATTCCTTATCAAGCTTCTGAGAGCTGTCAGTTTTTCATTTTCGCTGCTATCAGTGGATCTGACTGGCAGAGCTCTAACTTCCTCCCTGCCAGAATTCCTTTCAAATCCTTTCTGTCCATGAAAAGCTTGGATACCAGCTTTATCAAATTTTACATAAAAGCCATACAGGAGGGGCTGATGCCTCTTCTGTAAG